TAATTCTACGTAGATTACTTTTATATTTGCGAAGAACACCTTCCGACACTTCACTTTCGGCTACGTTACTTTTGTTCCAAAGATTCATTGGTACGATTTAGTGAATTCCTTTGAATTGTAAATTGAGTTATTTAAAGTTACGATTATTTTGTCAGGGTAGAGTTGTATGGTGGTCGATAAAACTTTTGCTTTTGTTTAGTTAACGTAAATTGAATTATTGCTTCTTATTAAGTGTTAAATTACGATACGAGTACCCGATTGCCGAACATTAAACATTGCTATCGTAATATTTATGTGCCGCGCTATTTATTATCCCTCTTATTTGTTTGTTTGTGTTTTTATCTGTTACAGATAAGGCAGAAAAGCGCCCTTTCTGAGCTCGAAAAGGTTGCGACCTGTAGTTCAAAAGTATTTTTATTTTCGACGCCTTGATATAACGTACATACTGATTTTCGATACCAGAAATATTTTTCGTAACAAAATGCTTAACAATCTTTGAGAAATCTCCTTAGCAATCTTTCTCGAAATATTAGAAATCCCCTTAGAGTTCTCCTATAAATCTTCTTGAAAGATATGTTATATTCATTGAAACATTTTTTGGATCTTAGAAAGCATTTTTGAATTTCTCTTAGGAGGACGATTCATAGAAAGAGAGTTGTACATTATTATCAATCTAATAGTTTTAATAGAAACCTTTCGTGCAAACCTTTTTAGAAATCTTGGAACACTCCCTGGTTCCAAAGGCATCCTATTACGGTTACATATTCTCTATGAAATTCGTCGTATACAATACGGTAATATTTTTCCAATTATATATTTATTTATTTAGAGAAAGGTGACGTTTCAGTCTTCATTGCAGATAATAACACAAGATGCTTATTTATCATTCTAGTGTGCAATATACTTTAGAACGTCTGGAATTGTATGCAGAAATATGTAACATTTTGATTTAGACCACATTTTGAAAGATATCAGGTATAGTCACAAAAACAGATCATTATCATATTTCCGCAACAAACCCAAAAAACTAAAACAATTTATTATAATTAGCATTAGTATTAGTCAATGCATATTACTCCCAATTTAATTATTATTAGCTAGTTTTGGCACGGTCTATTTCTACGATTTATACCGAACGGATCATCATAGCGATTCACCGATTTTTTTGTTACCTACCAGAAAATCGTTCGAGGGCCAACGCCATTCTGTCTAGAAAGCCCACAGCCTAAAATTAAACTCTGCCATGAAACCTCAAGTTCATAGACTATTTTTTGGCACCTTTCGTCTAAACTATTCATTCATAACAATGATATAAAAGTGGGGGAATATAATGGCCATTCACGCTCGAGGCCAAAATTTACTTTATTCTAGGTACACATAAATCTATTTTATTTTGTGCATTCTTGAACGCGAATCCAGGGAAAATTTATGTCGTGGGTCGCATCCAAGGTAAATTGACCAATCTCCTTCAGATAAACTCGTAAACGACATCAACACAACTCTGGTTACCAACAAAGTTGTACTTAATCTATGGCGGAGATACCAAAAATTAATGGTCCTTAAGTCCCTTAAGGATATAAAATGGTTATCGAAACTTCTGGCACGGAGACCTCATTATTCACACTGTTCACACAAGCAATTATAATACTAAAAATCAAAACAATCTTTCCTTACCAAAAGTGTACTGGAAATCCTGTTGGACATATTGCTTAGCAACATTATAATCTCTTCTTCTCAGACGGTCACCAGCAGCAGCCATACAAGTCACTTAGTTTGATGTATGGGAATATTATACTTGACTGGTTTGTGCAGTTGGCCTGCAAATACTTTATTTATATTCCGTTCCTGTTCAAACTCATTAAAAATCGAACAGATAACGTTTTTCTTCAAAATGAATTATTAGAGATTATATGGGTTTATTTGGTTATTCCCATCCTAAAATATCTAAACCAAACTCTGAGATATAACCACAAAACTGTTTTGCCAATTGGGTGAAAAGTTCATAGGTCAGCCAAATTAATTGATGTAGCAATAATTATCCTCACCATGGAGTCGTACAATTTATAATGCAGCACTGTGGGAGGAACGTTTCGTGACCACGATTTTCACAATTTAAAATATGGAGACTTCTTTTTTATTTAATTATTTATGTAAATCGCTATTAATAGCTGCATAATTTTAAGGTTAATTAAATGCTCATTTTCATTTAGAATTGTTTATTAGCTTAAAAAATAATATTCAATCATAAGGACTGGTAGATGTAGATAAATGCTATCTGGTGAACATATTTTTTCATAGGTTCAAGTTCAGCCATTGTTTCTACTAGATTTATGCACTTCACTCGCCCCTAACTAACTGGCATCCGTCCAAATTGCTCCCCGAACTCACCCTCCTACAACTCGCTCCTGACCATTTCCCAACCGTGACCATTAGGCGTTTAATCCTCCTAAAATGATGATCAAATCGCGACTTAAGGATATCACACATTCCTCCACATTATTCGAATCATTAACTTCACTCTGACCTGTTTTCCTAATCCTTACCGATTGGATCTTTGGAGTTGCCTATGTGTGATAACCAATTGCTCTCCTCATTTTCGTTAGGCAATCTATTTCCTTTTCTTGTCCCTCTGCTTCTCATGACTTAATCTACGATTGTCATCCGCATCAATGATTCAATCACACTCTAACACTCTTCGTCTTCTTCCTCAAAATCTCTCTAGTTGCAGTTCCAACGATGAGAATCGATGATGAGTCGCGCTCCGCCGTGTCTTGAAACCTTGCCAAACGCACAAATAAGGGTATTAAGAACATAAGGAGAAGTGGCGATGAGTAGATGTGGAGAATAGGAGAAAGGAATTTAAAAAATGTTTTGGATTTACGGCGCAATTGTGAAAGGGGTGCCTATCTATGGGGATGGAAGGAATGGGATGAATTAGAAGGAATACAAAGAAGGTACTACAAATGGGTACTGGGACTAACTAAACAGGAGGACACTAAATTACATATTAGAGGAGGAAATAAACATGGACATGATAAGGATATAGTTGGGCGGAGGCGTTGAGTGAAGGGTTGTTTACATTCAAGGAAAGGAGAAGAAGAGTTAGCGATGAGAATGAACATAAAAGGGATTTGGTAGGAACAAAAGAAACGGATTTGAAGGGACAGAGGCCGAAAGGAGGAAAACAATAGGGTAAACGATGGAAGGAGGTCTTACAAAAAGGGACAAAGATGTACAAGTTCAGCTACTAAGAGTAAGGATCAAGAATTCCAGAGGGAACGAAAACTACATAGATGATAACGGAGGGGGTGCCGAAGTATCTAACAAAGCGAAAGAAAAACATTTAAATAATTGCATGGTTCAGATGTGGAAACGAGGAGGAAGGAGAGAAATATTGGATGAGGAAGGGAGAGGAGAGCAGTGAATAAAAAGAATATGAGATAGCAGAGAAGAAATGAAAATATAATGTGATATATTTTAATGTTTGTAAAAAATCTTTTGCCAATTGGCGTATATAAATATCTATCTATATTATTGATCACTATGAAAATGCACTTTTCAAGGAATATCAATCAGAACACAATTTTCAGGGCCGCATGTTCGGTTACGAGAATTCATGTAAAAGGGTATTCTCATTAGAAAACACATTCCAGGTGAATACAAAGATTCTAGATGACTCCTAAAAATGGTTCCTGGTAAAATATGGCCCTAAAAAATCACGCCTTTGCAAAATTATCTCTCATGGAAGTTGGCACCCGAAGTAGTTGTCATCAGCAAATTAAACCCCAAGAAAATTGAGAGGGAGGATCCGATGCTTGAGAAAATTTCTTTTCAAGGAAACTGAGAAAGAATAATCTTTAAGTTTGTATGGTGAATTCGATCAGGAGAACTGATCGAAGTCACAAAAATACCCATGAAAATTCAGACAATTCGCTTAAAATATCTCGTCTTAGTAGGATATGTTCATAAGAAAACTCGATTCAGGTAAATTGATCCCAAAGAAAATTCTCCAGATATCTAATTAGAAAGAAACCTCCTTAAAAGAAATTCTGAACGGAAAATTCGCTTACAATAACTTGTCTAAGGAAGATATCAATGTAATTTCGCCACCCAAGCAATTGTAATCAGAGAAATGATCCCCACGAAGATTCGAGGCGGAAAATTTGTTTACAAGGTGTCACCTAAACGGGATAAACTCATAAGTAAACTTGCTCCAGATGAAAAAAAGCACTCGTCTCAGTAGAATACGTTCATAAGCAAACTTATTCCAAATAAATTGTGGAAAAATAGACAGCTCAAGGGAATTCAGAAACGGGACTTTCTGGGGGTTATGCGAATAAGGAATTCAATTCTCGCAGGAATCTTTATTAAGGAAAACTCCTCAAATAATAGGATTACAAAAAATAACCTTGGCACCCTGTTATTTGGGAAGTATTTCAGGGATTGCGGGGGAGGGGGGGGGGCAATTGGTGATCGATTTCGACAATTGCAGAAAATGATCAGTTCCCCACTTTCGCCTATGCTCTTCCTCAATTACTATACGATTTAACTTGAAACGAAGGGATGCGACACGGCGCATAAACAAAATTCTTTTCGGCATTCTTTGACACGAAGACATAAGAAATGTACATACGAATTAATGTTGCCCAATTTTCATGAACGCGTTTTGTGATAATTAAATTATTTTTGGAATGGCGGTGAGCATCCTCCTACTAAGACCCAGGTAGTTTTTGCGAGTGTAGTAAAGCTGTAAGTTGAGCTTTAAAAAACTAATAAACATTTTATTACATGTAGGTATTTGAACTGTTGTATTATTTCCAACGAGAACTGTGTTAACGACGTAATAATAATTCTTGTCGCCTCACATATTCTCTTTAGCTATACGTTATATGGAGCTTGTTTCGGACGTTTTTTCCTTTATTCATTTTGGCAGAAGTGAAGTCGTTCAAAATACAAGGATGCTTAATTTAACGTAAAATATTGAAATAAACAGTACCTACCGATCCGTAAAGCAGTCCACAAATATCCATACATAAATACTGGCAGGTTGCGACTCCTTGAATTTTAAGTTGTCCAATTCCAACTGTTGTCCTTTGTAGAATTGCTGAAATAGAAATTGGGTTCGTTAGTAATCTTTTTTATGGGCTTTTTATTTTAAGGGGAAAAGAACATAAAATAGCGAAAGAAAGCTAACGAACTTTTAGAAAGCGCCTCAAAGAAAGCTTTGTGCAATTTAGAAACTTTCTTATATAAAAGACTTTTCACTAAAGGTGCACATTGTGAAACGCGTTTTGGCAAATTACCAAACCTGTTAATAACCTATGCAACTGTCATTTACTTTCTTAAAAATAGAATTACAATGCGAATTTAGAACACGTACTTCTCTTCAATTCTCAATTAAAAGTGTCGCTAATTTTTTATTTTTAAACATTCGAAAGCACTTATACACATTTTGTTAAGTGGGTATACAGCGACTTAGTTTGTGTACCTAAATAAAAAAGATCGCGGGGAATAAACCGATTATACATCATAAAGTGGCCAGTAGTTCATAAACAAATAAAACTGATTGATTGATTAGGAGCTTGCAAGGTTACCAGGCAAGCACCTTATGCGCGATTCTTACGTAACCACCATACTAAGACATAATAAATAACGATTTGGTTTCATCTTGCCGCAAAAAGGAGAAAGAAAACACTTTTTGCGACAAGGAATATTAATGACACGTCTGCCTGCCAATTGTATACTCTTCAACACTTAAAATTCTTTCTAACGGCATTTTTTTTTTAAGATTTCATTCTATTCTTGAAATAGACTTGAAACTGCGATCTACGTCTAAATTTTGCACGAGACAAAACACTAAGTAAAAAGCAGGTATTCTTGCTTATTCCCAAAGCAGGGGGCTTTCAAGAAAAACGCGATATGGTGCCGAGGGCTTGCAACATCCAGCTCAATTTTTAATTTTCTGGATACTGGTGAATCTTTTGGGACGAGACTAAATATACTCGACTTTAATAAGTAGGTAAGTCAACGTTTGCCACCCACAGAAAGATATCGTTTCTATTTTCATTTCATAATTATATAGAAAAACAATGCATTAGGCGAGTTGTGTAATTCCCAAAGTATATAGCAACTATCTCACTTTAATTATATCTAAGTAAACAGCATGAAAGTTAGATGTAGGTATGGTGTTCAACAAATAACAGAAAGAAACCTGAGGAGCGGATTTTCCATAGGCAAAAGGACTAGTTTTCGGCTTCACTTTCAACATGTTTAAACTGCCTTACCTACTCTGGATGCATGGTTTACTTGTTTCATAGTATACAGCATCAGTATTACTGTTGATCTAAGGCGTCTTGTTTTAACGAACCAAAGTTAGTACGCACAAAACACAGGCTGCGTAAAGTGAGCAGGACATAAACCGCACAAACAACGAAATTAAACCCAATTGTCTGTGCCGGTTGTTTGCCAGAACCACCCATTCAGAAAGTGAAAATGACTTCACGCATCAACTGAAAGCACAACTTTCGCGTCTGGATCCAATTGTTTGTGCCTAATTTACGACTTGAGACATACCACCCACATACGTTTATGACTTTTGATGAAATTACCGTTTGTAATTACGAGTATATTTGCTGACAGAATCATTAGAACCGAATCGCTCCGTTCACAAAAAAAACCTATACGTTTCACGTTGCACAAAGGAACAACGTGTACCCATTATGAAGCCCATTGCAAAAATGGAGAAAGTTCCGCTGAAACCAGTCGAGGATCTTAGCGAAATTTTTAGTCGTGAAAATCAACAAAATTGAAGAAACCGAGACGGTTATGGGCACTAAGTCCGCGTGTTGGGTTCGGGCCGGTCTTTCGAAAACATCGTTGCTTGTAAACGAGTTTGTCATCCAAAACATCAATTAAACCACCTGTACAAGGACTTCAAATTTCAAAGCAGCACGTGGCGAATTTTCTCGAAGGTCCTCCAGCATCATCCCTACAAGATTTAGTTGATCCAGGCGCTGAAACCAGCAGACTATCTACACCAGGGAAATTACAACGATTTTGCTACCAGTTGAGTCATTTTTTTGAAAATTGTATAAGGGTGCAAAAAATTTACCTATTTATTATTGCATCATTATTTGCAAAAATTATAAACATATATGCGGCGCTACGGAGTGCCGGGGGTGCAGTGGAGTGAAAAATTGCCTGTGCCGAGAGATTGCTCGGAAATCGTTACTCGGGGATTTTCGTACTCGCCGAGCCCATATCTACTCTTTAAATTTTACCGAGGATGCTCATTGATAGCGCTACGGTGGTGCAGTGGAGTGAAAAATTAACCATGCTGAGAAATTGCTTGGAAATAGTTACTCGGGGCAATTCACATTTTTTTTTACTGAAGTCACCCCCGAACCCGATCGCCACCTGTGGGAATCCCCGGGGATTTCGAGAGCAGATCTGAACTCTGCGAACGCCAAAATTCTCGAGTAGTTTCTCGGTACTGTTAATATTTCACCCCACTGTACACCCCGGCACCCCGTATCTCCACCCCAGCAATTTCGAGAAAAGATCTGGACTGTACTTTTTAAAACCATGTCGAAAACCGCATTTGATACGATTTTTTTCCTTATTTCTCTCGTCCAATCTCCAAAGCTGTCAATTAATTGGATGGGTCAATTGGAAAAAAACCATCTTCGCCGATCATCATCTGAAATAAGCAGAATTGTCGAATTTGGGGTTTAGACATTTTGCATGTGAACAAATGCAACCCCAACGAGTAATTGTTTGGTGCGGATTTTGGGCATTCGTATTTTTTTGGAAATGCGGATAACGATGTTGAAATTGTCGATTGTGATACCGTAATATGATAAACGAGTTTTTATGGCCTCAACTCGACGGTATGGACTTGTGGTTCCAGCAGAACGGCGCCACACTACACATTGAAACATTTCTTTTAATGATGGAAGATTTCCGGAAGCAAACCATCTCCCAAAATTTCTGATCGCCAAGATTATGCGGTTTTTCCTCTGGGGTCCATTCCAATGCTCCACGAGCTAATTTCGAGCTCAAGGTTGTGATCCAACGCATCATAAGTAATGTAGAGCTGCAAACAATCTGGTGCTCTTATTGAGAGACCCTTTATGTAGGGTGTACAAAAAGAAATCCTCTGCTAAATTCTAATAAAAGAATAGATCCAGATATTGTAATACCTAGTAGGATAAATGAACACACTCTCAAATGTTTTGGTATGGTTGCACCTACAATACGTCGTTCACTAATTAATTATACAGTGTGGTCCAACCAAATCCGGCACTGTTGCTAAATTTATTATTAATAATTGCTGTTCTATCATTTAATGCTTTGTGGCTCTGATATTGATTAATTAATTTAAAGATTCCTAAAAATCTTTAAGAAAATATCTCGATAATAGGATGCTAAATTGTATGATTTCCACGTTGTAGCGAAAGACTTCAAATTTACCAATTTAATTGACTTTATAGCTCCAAAGTTAGTTGACGTTCTTCAAGTCACCCCCGCTGCAGCAACATCTGGAAACCGTAATTTCTGGAACTATAAAATTCAATCAATGCGTCTTTCTAAAATTGTCCCTTTAAACGAAATAGGTTTAATAGAAATTAAGAAAAAGCGCATTTGCGTATTCAAGAATGCTTGTTCCAAAAGACCCTTCCGCTAAAGAAGTCGACAGTAAAAAGAAGATTTTCCGAGAGAATTTCTTAATTCCTCGTCAGAAATCGCTTCAAAATTTAGTCATTTTCCAATGATTTCGTATAGGTAAATACTTTTACAGTTCCGACAACAAAATTGGTGAATAGGTTAAGTTGTTGGGAAGTTATTGGCACAAAGGTTCGACCAATAGCATTTGCACAGGGCCTATTGTAAAAGATGAAAGAAATTGTAACGTTTTATTTAAATTCAAAATGTAAATTTGATATTCTTACGCCATCCAAGTAACTCCTGTTGTTATTACTTAGTTCTTTATTTGCGCCGCTAGAGGTCATCCGTGATACTTCTAATTCTTCTTTAATTTGGTATTGCGTACCGTTGTATTTCGTTTCGCACAGAGACAATCAATCTATCCTTCACATTGGTTGTGTAGAATTTGTTCTTGATACGCCGTTACTTGTTACTTGATTTATGTCCACCTGAATAAGGGCTGATTGTTTTGACTATCATCATATTTCTCTCTTTTTCTAATGTGCTGTGACTGCTGCATTGAATGTGCTTTGCGGATTTCTTTTTGCAAGTAGTTAGTGTGAGATATGTACGGATTATGATTCAGAATAATTATTTTTAATACGTACTTTTTAGGGCTTTATTTTTCCTCAAAGTTTTCTCGTTTTCTCTACAGTTCTTACCGTTTTCTCTTTTGAATTACTTTTCCGTTAAAATCTACCTGGCTATTGCCTACGCAGAACCTGAATGACATCGCAAATTTTACCTGGATCGGAGCGAGATTGACATTAGCGACGTCACGTGAGACATTACTATTATACCTACTTCGAAGGTTTATACCTGGAGATTTCAATATAGTGCGTGTTGAACTCCAACTATAACGAAACCTTTTGCAGATTTTTACTCCTGTACATCGGTCCTTCATTCATGTTAGTTTGATTATATTGTATCCTTCAGATTCGCTTTGTTATATGAAGATGTTAGCTTCCGTCGCTTTGTAAATTAGTTATTGAAGTTGCCGGGACCTAATACGAAACAGGTATCTACGATTATTAGTTACGTTACTTGTGTCGCTCCGAAGAATTTGTTCATAGTATCTTATTTACATTTTGAATTAATTAGATCAGTGTTGCTGTATAGCAATTTAGTTATTTCTGCATCTTAAAGTAGTTTTTTTTAAGTTAACGTCACGTTCATGTTTTTGTCATCACCGATTAGTACGAACAATTTTTTCTTTTGCTAGTGTAAAGCCATTTAAATTATTGATTCTTATTGAGTATTCATTACGGTTTTAGTATACGAGCACCTGATTAGTGTCTGACGTTAGACATTGCTACCTCAATATTTATGCGCTGTGCCTCTTATTTCTTTGTTTGTGTTGTTATCTGTTTCAGCACGGCAGAAAAGCGCCCTTCTGAGCTCAAAAGGCTGTTACAACAAGAGCTCAG